TGAATCAACAGATATAGAATAATGTGGGGTCATAGTGATTGAGAAAGGGCAACACACGGATAGAGTTATGTCACATAGAATCATCGTGTGTATGGAAGGATTTTCAAAAGATTCAATCTGAAATACAAATACTAACTTCTCCGTGGAGCGCGAGTAATAGCTATTTAAGAGCTATATCTCGGGGCTCACGGATAAATTCACTTCACCGAGGAGGATGAGAATAGGAGGTTGACCACCTGGTGGGCAAAAGGGTAGTTAGGGCTCAAATCAACAACCAAAAGGCATGGACTATCCTCCGCAACATGAGTGGACATATCTGTCGATTTTACTACCTTTAAAAAAGAGAACGCACTCTGAGGGTACAGAGGTATCGTCTTGGAGATACGAATTTAGGATTACGCCCTACTTCAGTTTCATTAGTTTCAGTTCATGAATTCTGAGGCTTAGATTGCGGCTGAACATAAATAATGATGTCAGTTACTGACAGCCCTTTATTTATTTAACCGTCCCAAATAATATCCGCTCAAACGGCAGGGATAGTGAAAACAAGCTGAGGGCCACCATTCGTTCCTTGTATGATCTCCCCTATGGCCCAATTATAATTCTGGTATGCCCTGTCAGAACTGCCTAGAGCATCTGTTTATCCCTTATAAGAGGGAGATCTTAACGCAGTACTCTAAATGCGGTCGTATGAAAGCTTTGTACAGTTTCAAGAGCATAGCAGCCTCCATGAATGCTACCGTTTGGCGGAGTTGGAAAACTAATCTGTTGGCCTTCACTGCGGGTGCCGCATATTGCTTCGAAAGTTTGAATGTTGCATGTACATGAACATATAGGTCTCTGACCGCTTCACCTGTGTCAATCGGATCCGTTGATCCGCCGCCTAAGTGATACTTTCCCTGCCTTGTGCGTTTTACTCCCTAAGAGATTGTAAATTCCCCAAGAAGTAATGCATTCAAATGCGATGGAAGTATTTGTGATAACCAACAAAAAGCACTGGACAGCTGTTTTCTCCTGTTTGAGACTCGTCAGCAGTGCGTACTTTTGTGTCTCTGTCAGGACTCTATCAGTCAGATCGGGACTTGAAATCTAACCCCTGAACTACACGGACCTCTGAACAATCGAATGGACTAATCCAAGTTTGATACTGCACATGAACATTGCGTTTCAAGGAACACCTCCAGTTTGTTCCTTTCAGTTTAGTTCACCTCAAGTACGTTGACGGCGGCATGCCAGTTAGTCTATTTTCTAACAGCTATGGGCTCTATCTATTCACGGCGCTGTGGCAGACGGAAGAAAGACAGAACTGTTCTTTAGTGTCTCGCGGAGTTGGGATTTGCNGATTTGCCTCTCACACTCGCGCCACCTTCCGGTGACACCTAATAGACCTTGCTAGCGGAACATGATCTTGGCATCGGCCACGTCAAATTCCCTGACACAGTAACTTGAGAAGTCCTAATAGGAGTGTTGGTCAACTAATAATAATGAGGCCTGGAATGAGGATCAGTGTAGAAGCTAGAAGAATTACCAAATTATATTACCAGTAAGCAACAAAAAGATGGTAGTGAGAATAGGTAAGAGAGGAAGGACAGTAGAGTCTGTAATGACAAAGATACATCTACAAATAATAGTACAACATAAGATACACTAAAAGGGGTCACAGGAAGCTTGTCCGATCCGTTAAGAGGTACTGTTCCCCGGAAGTGTGATTCATGGTGCACGATGGAGCTGACAACTAACGGACCGATTATCGATAATTGATGATATACGCATAATGCTTCATAAAAACTGGGTGACCACGTGCACTGTCACGAACAGAATTTGCAGCGTTGTAAGCTATCTTACCTATCAAAAGAAGCAAAACTCGTGAAGTTTGGGGAGGGATGAGTGGTGGGATGTAGGACAGACGTATCACTGAGGCCTGTTCGGGAAGTGTCTTCGGCGTAAAGGTTTTCGCATAGGGAGTACAGGCGGAATTTTAAAACCCTTCACCGGGCTGGAGTTGATCAATTCATTGACCAGTCTGTGACAGTAATTTAAGTCAAGTCAAATCAAGAGCGCTTTTTATTTATTCAATGGGAACAGAATTTTTAGTGAAAAATATTTATCAGTTTTGCTCTAATATACACGCCATTAAATTTTAAAAGGTATGACAAGAAGTATATATACGAAAATGAAGAGAAACCGAGAATGCGTAGCAAACGTAGAAACTTTCAGCATGAAAATTTACCTTGGACTGTGTACAAGGCTGTTTGCTATTTATTCCCTAATAAACAACAGTAGAGTAAAGTAGGGTACGACGAAATTGTGAAAATCAGCGGTGCAAGTGCAAAAATGTTTAAATTCATTTCGGGGTTCAGAAGTTCAAACGGAGATAAGGCTGAGCATAATGGATGTGATGCGTCAGAAACGATAGAGTCACATGGACGATCACACGCCTTAAGGCGTTGATTGACGACTGAGTCAACCAGTGCCTCGTAAGTTAAGGCTACATATTTTTGGATGTTTTTCAGAGAGCGTCTGATCAGTATGGAATCCTGAAACAGTAGACCAAGGAAGATAATGGGAGAGTAGTAGGTCCGATGGCATAAGACGCACGAAAAAAAATAGAACTGATGTACAATGGCACCCTCAGATACCGAGGGCGTGAAGTATTAAAGATCAACTTTCTAACTTTATTGAAAGGTTTGTTCTACGTGATAGAGCCATTTGAGGTCAGCAGACAAAAAACAAACAAGATATTTGAAATGTTGTGACCTTTCAACTTTTAAGTTATTGATCAATGTGTTGCGAACATATGATTTGGATAGTGAGTAATGGAGGACTTGATTAAATTTCAAAGGTGAATTCGTCGTGTTTATAGCAAATGAAGCGTGAACTGAAAGCTAGAAAGCACTGGACAGCTGTTTT